TTCATTTTTGTAAAACCCATTCGTCATCAACATAATGCGTCGTGACACATAAATATCCAGTTTTATTGCACCCCTCCCATAGATCAAAAGTGCAAGAGACAGTAGCATTAAAAGTCATAAAATTATCAACAAAAGATTGTCTTATTGCTTAAAACACTTTCATGTAATCAGAACGAGTTGTGTTTCTACTTACCTGTTTAAATTGTGGGCAGAAGGTCGTCTGGATGAATTTTTTGAATGACGCATCATCTACAAAAGAAAGAGGCAATTCGGCACAAGCTAGAAATTTAGCTAGTGCCTCACGAGCACGTTGTGCATCGTATGTAAAATTTTGTAACCCTTGTGATGTAAGTGATAGTGTTTGTTGGCGAGAGTCCACACTCCCACCTTAGTGCAACGGTAGACATACTTTCCAATGTCTATCCAGATGACCAGTACCCCTACCCTTTTTATTAGAAAATTATTTTTTACAATATTTACATATCGCACGAATTTCCATTTCACCTGTTTTTGGATTTGGCCGGGGCTCCTCGGTGAAATGCTGCCATGCCGGGAAGTTCACGGTCTTTTTCCCCTGCTGCGTTCTCCAGCTTCCTCGTTGTGCACTGAATCATTATCTACCGGAGCATTTTCTGGTTCAGTGGGGGTAAGGTTGGGCGGCATCATTTCATCCTAAAAAAGCCTCATCACCAAGCTCAGGAAGAGCAGTAAAATCAGGAAAGTTTGATGCGACCATTTTCTGGAAATTGATTGAACTTGAACTTTGTAAATGAAAGAGCAAGAAAATGAGTGATCACGAGAAAAAAAGATTAGAATCAAAATCAAAGAGACAAGATGAGAGATAGAATGAGAGTGAGATGAGAAGTTGAGAGTGAATTGTTGTGTGGGATTTAGGGTGGAATTAAGGGGTATTTATAGGGGATTTTTTGGGCCATTTTTGGATTGTTAACGTTAGGCCCTTCGTGGGCCCAATGGGTGGCCTGTGACGGGCCTAATGGGAGGCACGTCATGAGCCGACCTTTGGCCCCACGAAGGGCCCAACGATAACATTTAGAATGGGCCGTTTCGCAGGCCTGGGCCGGGCTGAATTCGGGCTTGGGTCGAACTGGGCTTGGGCCGGGCCGCAGGCCTTCACGGGCTAGGTCTGCGGGCTGAGAAGCCCAGGCCCAGCCCTAGCACATTACACGTGCCAGGCCGGCACGACCCGTAACAGTAGCGTACCGGGTCGTGCCGAATCTAGCACTATTACGGATTGGGTCAGGCCATCCATGGACGTCCCGACCCATTTGACATCTCTAGGTATAAGCGTAAGTACGCTTTCAATTCTCACTAAATAAGTGACACGTGACAATTCCGTCACTCATTGTAACAGAAGGAAAAAACTTGTTAACAGAACAAAGTTCGTGAAAAGAGGACGTTACGTTTTAAAATTCATGAGCACAATGTTACAAGGGGCATAGTTCAGGGAGAATTTTTGAAATTAATCCTATAAAGGAGTAAAAATTCTTTTTTATGAAGTTGTTACGTGGCAGTCCCTCAATTTATTTCTTTTTTTATTTTTATTTTTTTATGATTTTTTTATATTTTAATTTTTTGTGTGTTTTTTAAAAATATATTATTTCTCGCTTTAATTTTATGAGAGTATTTTTTATATGTGTTCCTATTAATTTTTGGTTGGTTAAAATATTTTTTTAAATGTCTCTTATTTTTTACACTTTTTTTAAGATAAATACAAAAATCTTTAAATAGTTGTATAAATAAATTTCTTATTATTCAATAAATAATAACTTTTTAAGTGTCTGCAACATGATAATATGTACGAGCATATTACAAAACTAGTATCATAAAATAAAATAATGTTATCTTTTTTATTTTTTATTTTTTTAAGGATTTATCATATCATAGAATAATAGTTGTCTTTTTTTTTGTGTGTGTGGCTGAAATACAATAATAATTGTCTTTTTGCTAAAGAGTAGTGGGAAATGAATGACATATGACTTCAATAATACAACTAATTAGGTTGACCCTGGAAATCAGGCTTCTAGAGAGTCATTTGATTAATTAGCATGTAAGTTTTCTATTCGTCACATGTGGTAGCGTCGGTTTTATTTTGTCTAGCAAAATATTAACGCTACTTATCAACATCCCAACTCATATAGTCTAAAGCACAATCAATTAGAAGATATTTATTTTTGTTTATGAAAGCAGTTTACCCCCTAATCATGCTAATTGATAGACCTCTGCAGTGAAAAGCAAATGGATTGTTTGGTCATTTGCTATACACGAGACTCCTAGCTGCTAAATTAGCAAAGGAAATACACAATTTCTACCCCCAAAAAAAAAAAGAAAAAAAAAAGGAAAAGACAAACCCAACCGCTTGAAGGTCCACCAACCAAGTTTTAGAGTCAAAAATATTTTGCTTTTTTCCTTAGACATGGATTATAAACAAATATGATGAGGTGACAAGTTTGAATTATTTTTATTTTTATTTTTTGCTATATTATTTGACTTTTTATTGAGCTTTGATAGTTGATATCCATGTGCGAATCCACACTTGGCCTTCACGTTTAAGCGGACAACGTTTCTGAGTTGGCCACTTGGCCTCCTATGACTTTTTTTTTTATTCAAATGAATTATAAGCAACTTTTTCTTTTTGAAAAGAATTATACGCAACTATTACCATTAAAAGGAGAAGTTTTTATTTTTTATTTTTTTTTTGAATCAATGCCGTTTAGCTCACTGATTTAAAATTTTAATTTAAGTTGAGATGTGACTTTATATGAGAGTTTTTTACTGTAACAAAAAGTTAGACGTGACTGTTTATGAAAGCTTTTTACTATAGCAAAACTTAAATTCTAAACTTAAATCGGTAAAATGAACGGAACCTTAGAAAAAAAGGCAATTATCATCTTCAAGTCTTGTTGATGCCTGAATTATGGCCTGCAAAATGAGTCACGGCATGATAATATGACTCGAAAACGATACGAATTTCGCCAGTTAGGGTTGAGAAAAAAGAGGTTCGGGTCAGAATTGGGTTGACATGAAATTAACACGAAAAACACGAGTCAACTTTCGGGTTGGACCCGCCTAACCCGAACACAACACGAGAATTGTAAAAAGCTAAAAAATACATATATTTTTCATTACATATTTTTAATTTTATTATGAACTTGTGATATCATAATAGTTATATTCAAAATCTTAAACTATTATTTGCTTAGTTTTAATAGATGTTATTGTATTTTAGTATGTTATGAATTTTAAATTATTTCTAATATATAAAAAATTAAATAAAAGTATACAATTTTTGTGTCAATTTTGAGTTTACATGTCAATTTCGTATCACGAGTCATTTTCATGTCACGTCGTATCAACCTATAAAGTGGTTGTGTCGTGTTTGTATTGCATTTTTTAAAAAAATTTGTGTCACAGATTGTGTTAAAGTTTACTATAAATTAAAAAAAATGATTAAAATACGATACGAACACAATACGTAAAATGAATTGCCACTCTTAGAGTCCATTTAGTTAGAGTCCATTTAGTTCATGGATTAGAACCATGTGATTAGAATCATTTTCGATTTACGTGTATTTTTTGTGAGAGAAAATACTATAACTAACTACGAATCATAATTCGAATCAGGGAATGAATCCCTCTACCAAACATCACCTTAACTTCAATCCTGAGGGTTGTTACCGTTTGGAACCTGAAAGCTTCAAAACCATCCTTTCATTTCCAACAAGGAAAAGAATTATAGTAATTTTTCAAAAAAGAAGGGCTGCAAAAGAAAATTAGTAAACAATTAATATGGACGCAAGGGATGGGAAGGAAGAAGACAAAAAGAGACGGTAGAAATTCGCTCATTCCAAGAAGATAATGCAAAAATTGAGTTTTATTTTTTAAAAATTAATTAAGATCTCATCCATTTTATAAATTTAAGTTTTTAATTTTAAAATTTTACAATTAATATTTTTTTTAAAAATATCACGTTTAATTTTTTTATTATAATTAAACATTCTAAAAAAATATTATATGTGAAGTGAACAAAACTTAAATTGTGCTGCGAGCATGGGAATAAACAAAGTTTCAAGGAAAGGCTGGCCGCTTTGACCAGCGGGAACAGCTAGCTATTCTTTCCTGTTTATATTATTATATATATTACTATTATTTATTATATTAATATACTATTACCTCGTTTTTGCCATTTATGCCCTTAATTTTTTTAATAGTCTCTCTTTAATTTCTGAAAGTTTTTCCTTCAGAATAACAACTAATTTCAGTTGTTGAGATTAAAAAATTATGAATAGAATTACAACAAAATATATTTTTGGAGAATTACAATAACAATAACAACCAATTTCAGTCGTTGAGATTAAAAAATTATGAATAGAATTACAACAAAATATATTTTTGGAGAATTACAATAACAAGTTTGAAACCATTTTTTAATCGTGATGAAATTTGTTCAGAAATATGCACGAATATTTTAACTCTTCTTCTACCCCATAGTGATAGACTTCTTGTAATTTGACATTTTAACACGTGAAAAGTTACTATTTTTAAGCAATTAGTTCATAAATTGGTATTGAATTTTCTAAAAAACTTGTTTAGTTTTCAGTAATATTTGAAGTTAATAGGTAGAAAAATTCAGGTGCCACAAGTGCTAAAAACGTTGCAAGTTACAACAAAACAAAAGATGCTTGGGCTTTAAGCAATGACGTACCGCATCTAATCCAAATTATATAAATAATGTACAAAAAAGGACCCGAGAACAGAGCATCTAGTCTGGAAAAAGAAAAGGCTCAATAAGTGAAGCAACCAAACACATCCCTTTTGATCTTTCTAGGGAAGGAAATTTTCGACAACAAATATCACTTGTTCTTTCTTTTTGCTCCTTTTGGCATCTGGGTTTCTCGTACTATTACTCCATAATAAATGTATTGTTCTTTTTCGTCTTTATGCTTTTGGCTTATGTTGTTCAATATCAATTGTTTCTGTGATTTGGATTTGATTTGCAGAGTTTCTGATTAAGTTTCTTTTACCTTTTGTCCTCTCTGTCCGGCCTGGATCTTCATCGAAATTTGTTTTCTTTCTTTTTCTGTCGTGGATATATTCCTCCACTGCTTGTATGTGTCTTCTCTGAAACATAAAGAACAACTTTTACATTTTTTTCCCCCCTTTCTCTATGGCTGCATTGAGTGTCATACATACTTGGAGAGCAAACATGGGTGTTGGAGTTAAATCAATTGGTTGAAATTTTAAGATTTTTATTTTCTTTTGTACTTGGTCAGCTTTTGCTTTTGCTTTGTTGTTGTTTATTTTCTTCTTTATTTGGAATTACTCGTTTACTTTTCTGCTTAATTTGACATTTTATTGATGTCGGATCGGAGAATAGTCCAGTGGTTAAACCATTTTGGCTGACTAACTCCGCTTATATATGCTTCTGCAGGCGGATATAGAGAGAAGTAGCTTGATAGGTTTGGATCAAATTTGTTAGACGGTTGAGCCATGGCAGTAGAGAATGGGACGAGGGGCGGCGGCAGCGGCGGTGATGACATAAATGTGCAGGAAGAAGGCACGTCCAAAGTCAACGTAGAAGAAGCGCAGAATACCCCTGAGAGAAATGGAGATGAACAAGAAGCCTCGGAGTCGGAGGCAGAGAAGAAGAAAACAGCTGATCAGAAAGTTCCATATCTTAAGCTCTTCTCCTTCGCGGATAGAACCGATGTTTGGTTGATGATCTTCGGCATCATTGGCGCTGTTGGAAATGGATTGACTATGCCCTATATGACTATCCTTCTTGGTGAACTGATTAATGCCTTTGGAAGCAACCAAGACAACAACAAAGAGACAGTTGATAAGGTTGCCAAGGTAAGAAAACCAATCTTTAGGCCTTGTTTGGTACTATGAAATTGAAAACTCATATTGATTTTTTGATGGTAGTAAAAAACTTATCCCCTCTAAACTAATCTTGTGTTGAATATAGGTGGCTCTGAAATTTGTGTACTTGGCAGTGGCGGCTCTTGTCGTAGCGTTTCTCCGTAAGTAGTTAGTTGTCAATGGATTCTGTTTTTGTTTGTGTCTCATGAGTCGTGTGTGTATTTATGAAATTTGTGTTTCTGTTTGTTTTTGTCAAAAATTGTCAGAGGTGGCTTGCTGGATGGTTACAGGGGAGAGACAAGCTTCAAGACTCAGGGGTTTATATTTGAAAACAATATTAAGACAAGATGTTGCTTTCTTTGACAAGGAAACCAATACAGGAGAGGTCGTTGGCAGGATGTCCGGCGACACCGTTCTCATACAAGACGCCATGGGAGAGAAGGTGAAAGAAAAAACATGCTTTGCTGCCTCACCACTATTCACTATTCACTTACCAAAAAAAAAAAAAAAGATTAAGATTTCAGGAGCTAACTATTAATTAATTGCAATCAATTTTTTATTTCAGGTTGGGAAATTTATACAGTTGATAGTCACATTTATTGGAGGATTTTCAGTAGCGTTTTACAAAGGGTGGCTTCTCACCCTCGTTATGATGTCCTCTATCCCTCTCATGGTTATTGCCGGCGCGTCCATGGCTGTATTCATGACTAAGATGGCGTCCCGCAGCCAAAATGCTTATGCAAAAGCATCAACTGTTGTTGAGCAGACCATTGGCTCCATCAGAACAGTATGTCACCTTCCCTTTCCTAAAGATAATACGATATCTTGTTTGTTTGTTTAAGATAATTACTCTCTCTATTTTCACTCGAAGCCAAATGCAGACATATATTATCATGACAATCAACCATGAAATGATAACTTTGTTGTCTATCTTATCTAGGTTGCATCATTCACCGGGGAGAAACAAGCAATATCAAATTACACCAAATTTCTTGTTAGCGCTTACAAATCTGGTGTTTTTGAAGGCACAGCTGCTGGACTCGGTCTTGGCATGATTATGTTGCTCGTCTTTTGCAGTTATGCATTGGCTATATGGTTTGGTTCTAAGATGATTAGAGAAAAAGGATATACTGGGGGTGATGTTATCAACGTTATTGTTGCTGTCTTGACCGGATCTATGTAAGAAGAAGAAGATGAAGTAGAAACTCCAATTTAATTTTATTTCCCTTTTTTTTTAATTAATAAATAATAGTAATAAGATACAATTTATTTATTGACTTTTTTTTTTTTTATATGTGCAAACAAACAATGTTTGCCTTGGGGATGAGTCAGGTCGCTGGGGCAGACATCTCCTTGCCTGAGTGCATTTGCTTCTGGTCAAGCTGCAGCATTTAAGATGTTTGAGACTATCCATAGGAAGCCAGAGATTGATGCTTATGACGATAGTGGAAAGATATTGGAAGATATTCGCGGAGATATTGAGTTAAGAGAGGTCAATTTTAGTTATCCAACAAGACCGGAGGAGCAAATATTCAGCGGATTCTCGCTTTCTATCCCCAGTGGCACCACTGCAGCTTTGGTCGGAGAGAGTGGAAGTGGCAAGTCCACGGTCATTAGTCTCATCGAGCGATTCTACGATCCACAAGCCGGTGAAGTTTTGATAGATGGCATCAACTTGAAGGAGTTACAGCTTAGATGGATTCGAGGGAAAATCGGTCTTGTCAGCCAGGAACCTGTGTTGTTTGCTTCCTCTATTAAGGAAAACATTGCGTACGGAAAGGAAGGCGCAACTCTTGAAGAGATTAGAGCAGCGGCCGAACTCGCAAATGCTGCTAAGTTCATTGATAAATTACCTCAGGTTCTAACTTCTTATCAAAATTTTATTGCACTTGAGTTTCGTTTCACATCTTTAAGATTTTAGTAAGCTTACACGAGAAATTTCAAACGTTTCTCAGGGACTTGATACCATGGTAGGCGAACACGGGACTCAGCTCTCTGGAGGTCAAAAACAGAGAGTTGCCATAGCCAGAGCAATTCTGAAAGACCCGCGGATTTTGCTTCTTGATGAAGCAACGAGTGCACTGGACGCAGAATCCGAAAGGATAGTGCAAGAAGCATTAGACAGAATTATGGTCAACAGAACTACTGTCATTGTTGCTCACCGTTTGAGCACTGTGAGGAATGCTGATATGATTGCCGTCATCCATAGAGGAAAGATGGTTGAAAAGGGTATAGCTTTTCTTTTTCCTAGTCCTGCATAATGCATTCCATGACCACTAGATTAGATACTTTGCACTTTGCTGCCTTAATTTGTTGTGTCACGTCACTTATGAACATATTGTGAACTGATCAGGCTCACACTCGGAACTAGTCAAGGACCCCAACGGCGCTTACTCACAGCTTATACGCTTGCAAGAAGTTAACAAGGAGACTAAACAAGTCATCGGCGATCAAAACAAAGCGGAGATTACTTCTACGGAATCCCTTAGACAATCAAGCCAAAGAGGGTCATTCATGCGATCTATCAGTCGAGGATCATCTGTAGGAAATAGCAGCCGCCACTCATTTTCTGTCTCTTTTGGTCTACCTACCGGCATCCATGATACTGCATTGCCCGATCCAGAAGCAACCCCTGCAAAAGCAGCGGAAGATCTTCCAAAGATCTCACTCCTCCGCCTCGCAGCTCTTAACAAGCCTGAGATACTTGTGCTTCTGATGGGAGCTGTGGCTGCAATTGTTAATGGGGTTATAATGCCAATTTTCGGTCTGCTTCTTTCCACTGTCATAAAGGTATTGTATGAGCCGGCTGATGAGCAGGAGGATGATGCAAACTTTTGGTCCCTTATGTTTGTAGTTCTTGGAATTGTCGGATTTCTGGCAATCCCAGCAAGAGGCTACTTCTTTGCCGTTGCTGGGAACAAGTTAATTCAACGCATAAGAGTGATGTGTTTTGAGAAAGTGGTGAACATGGAAGTGGGATGGTTTGATGAGTCGGATCATTCGAGCGGTGTGATTGGTTCAAGGCTCTCTGCTGATGCAGCATCTGTGCGCGCTCTAGTTGGAGATGCACTTGGGCTGCTGGTTGAGAACAGTGCATCAGCATTGGCGGGTCTTATTATTGCCTTTCAAGCATGTTGGCAGTTGGCTTTTATCGTTCTCATCTTGCTTCCTCTTATTGGAGTCAATGGATATGTTCAGATTAAGTTCATGAAAGGGTTCAGCGCAGATGCAAAGGTATGCGTGCTCGCTTTTAAACTAATGAGTTAGGTGGGAAAAAAAAAACTGTTTATCACTAATGTTGTTATGTTTTGCAGGCGATGTACGAGGAGGCGAGTCAAGTAGCAAATGATGCAGTGGGGAGCATAAGAACAGTGTCTTCTTTCTGCGCGGAAGAGAAAGTGATGGAGTTGTACAAAAATAAATGCGAAGGCCCCAAGAAAACAGGGATAAGGCAAGGCTTGATCAGTGGAATTGGATTTGGAGTATCTTTCTTCTTGCTATATACCGTCTATGCAACGAGTTTCTACGCCGGATCTAAACTCATGGAGGCTGGCAAGGCTACATTTTCAGACGTTTTCAGGGTAACCAAACAAGAATTCTACTCTTTTCTTTATCCGCTAGGCTAGGCTAGCTTTTATTATTCAATGTCAAGATAGACACTAATGATGAGCTGAATGTCGGTTTGTAGGTTTTCTTTGCTTTGACCTTGGCAGCTTTGGGCGTTTCTCAGTCAAGCTCATTTGCTCCTGATTCTGGCAAAGCCAGGTATGCTGCGGCTTCCATATTCTCCCTAATTGATCGGAAGTCAAAGATTGATCCAAGCGATGAGTCCGGAGAGACGATAGATGACGTCAGGGGAGAAATTCAGTTACGACATGTGAGCTTTACGTATCCATTAAGGCCGGATGTCCAAGTTTTCAAAGATCTCAGCTTAACTATTCATTCTGGCAAGGTATTGGGTTCTAGTAAAAATCCTTCCACGAGTCTTTTCGTGCTTATCTTTTTTTCAACTTTTCTCTTCAACCAAATAAGCTCTTGGACACTTTTTTTTGTTTTTTTTGGGTGCTTTTCAGACGGTTGCTCTTGTTGGAGAAAGCGGCAGTGGAAAATCGACGGTGGTAGCACTGCTACAGAGATTTTATGACCCAGACGGAGGGCACATAACACTAGACGGAGTAGAGATTCAGAGATTGAAACTCAAGTGGTTGAGGCAGCAAATGGGGCTGGTGAGCCAAGAGCCAGTTTTGTTCAACGACGCTATTCGCGCCAACATTGCATACGGCAAGGAAGGCAATGCCACGGAGGCTGAGATTTTGGAGGCCTCTGAGTTGGCCAATGCCCACAAGTTCATTAGTAGTCTACAACAGGTAATTGGTTTTGGATTTCACACATTAACGATTGTCCATCACTAGTCTACAACTTTAGCCTTGTACTTTTCTTTCAAGTTGTCGATCCCTTTTTTTTCAACACTTTTAGGCGGATTTATTAATGTTGTCGTTTTGAACGTGGCACGTGCACAGGGGTATGACACGGCGGTGGGAGAACGAGGAGTGCAATTGTCGGGAGGGCAGAAACAGAGGGTGGCAATTGCAAGGGCAATCGTGAAAAGCCCGAAGATACTGTTGTTGGATGAGGCGACGAGTGCGCTTGATGCTGAGTCGGAGCGAGTGGTTCAAGATGCACTCGATAGAGTGATGGTTAACCGTACCACCGTGGTAGTGGCTCATCGGCTATCCACCATCAAGAATGCCGATGTTATTGCGGTCGTCAAGAACGGTTTGATCGTTGAAAAAGGCAGGCATGAAACTTTGATTAACATCAAGGACGGCGTTTATGCCTCTCTTGTTCAACTTCACACCAGTGCATCCACTGTTTAATTAGTCTGTCGTTTTCGTTTTTTATCTCATGCCAGAACTTGTTAATTTTGAATTTGTTTTTTTGTTGTATCAAAAATTATGTAGTAAAATACGCGTACTTATTCTTGTATCATTTGTAAATCTATATCTTCAACAACGGAATAATCAATAAACGGCATTATTGGTGTCCCATTAAAATGCTCATGCAATCACCAGGTCTTTTTCTAAATCTTACTTTTAATGACGCTTCAGGTTTGACTTTAGAGTGCAAGAAGATAATTATTGAGGTTATATAATATAATATGATTAAAAAATGAAAGAGAAGACGTCACCAATGACGATTGACCCTTCCTTTTTAGAAGTCGGATGTGGATCCATTGCAACTGCAAGTGTGAAAGTGAATTAGTCAAAGTAATAATATTGAAAACAATGAAAAGAAGATCTCCTACTCCCATGACCACCCATCAAATGAACGAATGAATGAATGTAAAAAGGCAACGCCTTAGATTAGTAGATCAATTCCCAAAAGCCCGCACCCCGCAAAAGAAGAGAAAAACAAAAAAGAAAAAAAAAGGGCAAGACAGACCTACTTTAGTATAATAGTATAATTCGACATGGATTAAGACCCCTGGGCCTCTTATCTTTAGTTTCTAGTTTACAGCCAAAAGTCAGAACACTGTGCATTCCGCCGATGGTGAAGTCTCAAATAAAAGTCGCTCTTACTGTTTTTTATACCATGAATTGTAATTATAGATCTCTCTCTCTCTCTCTGACTTATGGAGGAACTATTATGGCTCCTCCCACTCCCCCGTTTTTTCTTATCTATTGCTACTCTCACTCCCTATCAGCGTCTCGCGGAAAGTGACATTGTTTTGAGAAAAATTCAATGAATGATAAATCCGGATAGAATTGTCTCAAGTCCGACAACCAAATTAGTCCAAAAAATGTCAACTTTTTTTTATATGTACGTGTGTCATCATTTGTATATATGTGTAACACTCAATTTTAGTGTAACGATTTAATAAAAACAACCGAAACATTGAGTTTTACACATATATAAAAAAAAATTACAAGTACAAATAAACGATGTTACATTTGCTTGACTAGTCCACTTATATATTTGATTTAGTGTAGATGTAGCGAGAGACTAGCCTGCAACCACTTATTCTATTGTCATTATCATAATATTAGAATAATGGAGTATCAATAAGATAATGTTTTGCTTGAAGTATAAACAAGGTATTGATGCCTATCTTAATGAATTATCTATTTATTTTGTACTTTTTCTCCCGAAACTGTTGCTACTAGGCGGGGCTGAATTCTTTGTTTATCATCAACCAAATAAAAATAGAGTAGAATTTTATTCGTCTTTTCGTTGTGAACGTATAGAAAAAAAAAATTATCTCAATCGAAATTAAAACGAAAAAGTTAAAACATTTTTAAGAATAGAAAAAATATTGTTCATTAACTTGAATTTTAATTTAGAAACTTGAGTTGAAAGGAAATTAAACTCAGATTTTAATCCCAAACTCAAGTTAAAACTCAAGTTTAAACTCAAGTTTAAACTTAAATTTTATAAAAGAACATAAACTTAAATAAAATTGTAACTTAAGTTCAAATTTTTTTTGAATTTTGATGCAAATGAACAAGCACTTGTGTGGTCTCTCAAGTCCTATCAAGAACAGATGGCTAACTAAGCTTGCAAGGACGCAGTTATTCTCCTTGTCACAAGCCATGTCCTAAAATAAGCTCATTCAGTATGAACTATGAAGGCTAACATTTTACTTTTTACTTAACATGTTCTCTCAATGCATATTTCTATCTTGACATGAATACTTGTAGGTCTCGTTCATTTCACCGATTCGAATTTAGAATTCAAGTTTTACTACAGTAAAAAACTTTCAAAAACAGTCACATCTAACTTTTTCACTATAATAAAAAGCTCTCACATAAAATCACATATCAACTTGAATCAACGAACTAAACGGGCCCATAAACTTTCCCGCTTTTCCCTGTCTATTTAGAAAGCCTGATATCAATAAAAAAAAGAAACATAGTCATTCAAAAAACCGATAATGTTTCCTTAAAGATACCAATTACAAAACTATCTAATCATCTTCATCACTTCCATCACTATAAGAAACCAGACCAGTCTTAACAACATCACTAGATCTACCGGTATGAGAAGTTTCTTCTGTATTGATATCGACAGTTTTCTTTGTTTTTGAGGAATCTTCAACACCTCCCTGATCCAACCTGGCTTTTTTTGCTTGTGGCTTGACTTTTATGATCATACCTATGGGACGAGCAGGAAGATTCTTCTTTCCAGCTGCCTTCTGTTCCTGCAGGCAGAAACAGATTGCATTTAGCTGCCACCACCTACAAATGACGAACACCAGAAACAAGACGAGAACAGAACTCTCCCTCTTTCTCCCTCACGCACAGGTTGCATTTAAAGACCAAAGCTCCCACCTATCACAAAGAGCCTAACAAGAAGAGACTGGCATTCTTTTCACACATTCCATTAGGAAAGACTACCTGAATAGGCGTTAAGGTCACTACAACTATAAATCCCTCAACTAAAAGCCTGTTTCATTCATGAACTATTACCAACCTTTGATGTTTCTGCAGGGTTGTAAATGCAAAATCACCTAGAGAAAATTCAAACGGAACATAAACAAAACAAATAAGAAACCAACCTGGACTACGGGAACAGGAGGCGTTTCCTTAAGCTCGTGTACAATCATAGACTGTACTGCTACTGCTGCCTGAACCGGAAAGCAAAACATTAATGACTTGACATGATATAAGGTGAAATGATTCACACACCACATTGATTCCTTTAAGGGGGGACTGCCAAAGGATACTGTGTTTGGAAGATAAGATGCTTGGCAATAACTATGTAAAAAAAAAGGGCAACATAATGATCAGCACATTTAGGCTGCACTCCGCAGAAGTTTATTACATCCCTAAAGCATACATAATAAGCATAAACATGGATGCAAACAACATATTTTTAAGCATTGTTCACCGTCAAGTGAATCCAACATCCCTAACCTCCTCAAAGATTCTAAATGCCAGTCATTACAGTCAACATTGTGCATTTAGAGCATAAGCTAGCACCAATATGCAGAAATCATAGCCTTTATTATATTGTATTTAGATGACTAGGAATTGTGATACATATACATATACATATATATATATGTATATACATAAAGAAGAAGATAATATCATCATAAGTAGGAATATACTTGGAAACTCCGAAGCTGTTGGGCTTCCTCATCGGCCACTTGTTGCTCATATTCCCTCCTTGACTGAAACACAACACATGAAGGCATAGCAGAAGTAAGAACGAAATCAAACAAAAGAATCAGTAATGCATATTAGAAGGAGAATGTAAAGTGTCATACAGTTACAATCACCTCAACCTTTCTCACGTTGTCTGCATTGCATATCAAAAACCACCTTAGTGATTACTGTACCTATATAGGTTCTTTCTGTGGAAGATTGACATTTTTACCGATGTAACTTACATCGGTTTTAGTTTTTACAGACAACGAGGGCAGGGCATTATCTAAACAACACTTCCATAAACACAAAGAGATACTCATTGTTGCCGAGTAATAGCAGAAATTTGGGCTAATAATCTATCATACCAACTCTAATTGATTCTCCTTAGTAATATTAATAACAATCTGAAAATACAATAATCTTAGTTGTTCTCTTACAAGTTCTAATTTGTCAAGAAACTCAGTCTCGTCGTCATCCAAAGCTTTAGGAGGCCCTGCGGAAAAAAAAAAAAAAAAAAAAAGAGTGATGAATATTTTACCCAAACTGACATTCTTATGCTACTTTCCAACAAAAGTCTGAAACTTGATTATCCTAAATCAACAGAAAAAAAAAAAGGAAAGGAAAGGAAAAAAGAAAAAGAACTGACTGTGCTTGAAGCGTTCGTTGAATTCAGCGTCCTTCTTGTCTTTATTTTCCTTTAAAATCTGCAGTATTTATTTACATTAAGTTTTTATGAGATTAAGAAGATAGGAATGGATAGTAATAATAGAGAGAATACAATAGAAGACCTCGTAAAGGGGTCTATCCCTTTGGGCAGTGCCATCTTCGACGCGTTCGCCTCTCCTTCTCTTTGCTTCATCTAACTGTTTCCAAACACCAAAAAAATTGTAATTCTAGGGTTTTCATCTTCAAGAATAAGATAGAAAGAAAGAAACATACGAATGAATAATTGAATTAGAGAATTAAAGGATAAATTAAAGATGAGATTCACCTGCTCCTCCGACACGAAATTCATAAGCCTGACGGGGGGCCGCGTCGATTCTTCAGCCATCTTTCTTTCGATTTGGAAAATTGGAAATTAGAAATTAGAAATTCGCAGTCCTCAACGTCGTTAGCTGCCCAATCTTCTGCTCTCTGCTCTGCACTTTTAGTTGTACTCCTTATTATGTTCCTAGCCTTTTTCACATTTCGCTGTCGTTTTCTTTGTTTTCTTCGTCGTTTATCTCGTTGATGTCGTTTGTATTCCACGGTCGTGTTCCATGTTATTTTCGTTTTTTAGTTGATTTCCCTTAAATACTTCAGTCAGTTCAGAGTTCAGAGTTCAGACTACACTGTGTTGTTTTAATAGTTTTGTCGTTTTCAAAATTTTGCTGAATTGTCGTTTTCTGAGATTTACTATCTTTTACACTTCAATGTCGTTTTTATGTTTGTACCCTTTACAGTAATGTCGTATAACGTTCTCAAGTTAATGTCGTTTGTATTCTTTTGGTCGTTTTCAGGTTGTTGTACTTGAAAAATATTTTCTCCGTCGTTTTTTTATTTTTTGTCGTTTTGTAATTCATTGTCGTTTTAATGTTTGTCCCCTTTTCAGGTATTGTCGCTTATTTGTTGAAGAATCCCAGAATGGCAGAACATGGAGATAAAAAATTGACATGGTGAGATTTTCAATCACCGGAGTTAAAGTTACGAGAGTCGCACCGAATTGAAAATGGCCGAAGATGAACGGAGAGAGCCGATGGTATAGTAGAAAAAAAAAAAAAAAAAAAAAAAAAAAATTTTTCCAGTGTGATGGATCATAGAATTAATTGAATGTATTAACTCGTTAGCTCTATTAACTTGATTAAATTGGGTGGCTTCTAGTGATTGGTGGGAGACAATTTAGAACGTGAAATCTTTGACAGTGGATTTCATTGAAGAGACTCCCTTGACTATTACTTACTTACACTTGTGTTGTTCCTCTGCTTCAATACTGTAGTGACTCCTCAGATTAAGAATCTTCGGTTGCTTGCTTGTGTTACTTGTTGCTGGGTGATTTGGGATTTCAGGAAGAAAGCTCGTCATGAGGAGTACAAACCTTTCTTTCATTCTGCTAATGGTTCTCATTTTTAGCTCTTTGAAGGCTTCTAGTTATTTTAATTTGGGGGTTTCTTTTAACTCTTATGAGGATCAGATTGTTCTTCGAAGGTTGCAGGTCAAACTAAATATGTCTAAGTGCCCTAAAGTTCGTCCAGTTTATTGGATTTTGCGTAGTCCTGGATGGCTAAAGGTTAATACAGATGGATTTGCGACAGGTGCTCTTGTTGTGGCTGCTTGTGGGGGAATTTTCACGAATTTTCGAGGTTTTGTGTGTGGTTGTTTTAATATTTTTCTTGGAGAGTGTTTTGCATTTGAAGTGGAGCTTTGGGCTATCATCAATGCAATTTTTCTTGATGAGAATGGTTGACATAAGTTTTGACTTGAAAGTGATTCTTCTATGGCGATTTTGCTTCTTGCATCCGGTTCTTTGGATGTGCCTTGAAAAATGTGGAATGAGTGGAATCGGACATGATTTTTAGGTTTTCGCATGTATATAAGGAAGTTAATTATTGTACTGACAAGTTGGTCAATCTTAAAATAATGAATAAAAATAGGATGCGGGGGATTTCTCTCTTGATTTTTTGGTGTATGGGGATGTTTTGGGATTTCTGAAATCACACTTAGGTAGCTTAAAGACAACCGGGCTAAGGGGAGGAAAGCAGTTAAAGCGGAATTCAAGATGTAAATAATTAACCATTCCAATTTCCAGTCAAAGGGAAAAAAAAAAAAAAAAAAAAAAGGTGTGTACATTTTATGGAGTCAGTTTTGAGTCTTTTCGAGTGGATGAAACGATCAATCAAACTCAGGTATTTGGACGAAGAAGGAAAGAAAATTAAAAACCTAGCACATATTACCGAACGTCCAATTGGTTAAGGCTTCAAATAAAATGCTTAGGATGTAAGCATAAACAATTGTCAACTAGATAAATTCATGCATAAAAGACTCTAAACAAGTCGTATACCATTGGGGGGGGGGGGGGGGGGCCGAAAAATAAAAAGTTTTCGGGGGGGAGTCCCTGAATAATGAAAGATTTATCTCCATTACACATTTTTCACCAACAAAAGCGGGAAACAAACTTGAAACTCCCGCGAGTCGCAATAGACGACTGACCTTCCTTGTTTCGATATTGTCATTATTTATTTATTTATTTTGCTGAAGGATTCGTTATATATTCACATTCAGCCTTTTTTGTTTCTATAATGGCGATAAAGTGAAGGAAGTAGTGGATATAAAACAATGTAAAGTGGACCTGAACATGGGGCTTGTTTGTTTGATAAGCCAACCAACAAAACACCACATGGCTATAATATACAAATATAATATAGTTCTGCACACTCAGTTGCTGTAGTACGAAGTTCAAATACTAACAACAAAAGTGAACTGAGTTTACATGCTGACAAACTTGTAAACAATATTAAATTCTGCATCACGCAGATAGCTTAAAAAGGCAGACATTTGACCATTTATTCGATTACAGGATACATAGAAGCACATGACTTGTTAATAATAACCAAGGACATTGTTTAGTTCACGGATTCAAACCAGATGTTCTAAATCAAACTTCAAGTTTTTGTGAGAAAATACTCGAACCATTTGAACTGGGACCCTTTACCAAACATGCTAGTGTGTGTGTGTGTGTGTGTGTGTGTGTGTATTTTTTTGACAGGACCAAACATGCTAGTACTTGATCGTCATGAAACTGGCAAAACCTCAACACAAGAGCCATGACTAGTAGTGCATGAGACAAATATGTAAGTCAGAGGATCCAGGGCCATCCAACTTGAATTGTAAGGCTGCTGATACCAACATTATGCAACATTGTCTTAAAATTACATGACAAGCTGGCTTCTTTTGCATCCCAAAAGAGGATTTAGCCATTGCTTGCAGTTGGTGGGAGTGAGACCATGTTATGCATATCACCGCAGTGGGTTAATAAAATGAAAACTTCTTTCAACCAACAAATCTAATCCACACCACCCAAGCTATTTTTAAAGAGGATGTACTTATAGCGAGTTTCTTCCAAAAAATTTTCCTACGTATCTTTAAAACAAAATCAATCATATCCCTTTAAAAAGAAAGCTTCACCTTTTCCAACATTTTGTTTGAATGTATTCCTAACTTTCCTACCTAAAGCCAAGCCGAGTCTAGCCTCTCAAATCAAATTACATGGTCAAATTGAGAGCTGGGTGGCAAATTAAAGTTGCGTCAATCCGCAAATTCGTTTAAGAAGCAATTCCTAATCATACCTTTGCTCCTTCGGTCGAAAGCATTTTGCAAAATTTTCCATCTTTTACGAGCTGATTAATGGCGTCCCGGAACTTGTGGTAGTCATCAACTGTGTTGTAGATTTGGTGAGAAATCCTGGCGTAAGCGGTTATCACTCCACCGTCCTCATCCCTGGCTGCTCTGCTTTCACCATCATCATCTCTTGCGGTTGCAGGGTCATAATATATGGGAACTTCTACACCAAAACACTCCCGCAAATGCGTCCTCAACCTAGAAGCAAGCATAGAAAAGAATATCAGGACTGCTTTAAAGTTTAGATATAATAGAGTAAATTTCATGAAGAATCTTGTATGTCGTCCTTGCCTGGAAGCATGGTCGTCGGTGGTAATGCATAATCTAGAAGGCAAGCCGACCATGATCATACTGGCGCACATGTGAGGCGGCGAGCCGAGAATGGTGCCCCAAGAGTTGGCCAACATCTTCCCCATTTCAACCACATTGTCGTGGTTCCGCTTCATAATCCCTTCGATTCCACCTTCGAAGCGGTTCACGAACTCCATAACCGCCGGAACCACGAGCTGCGCGCTGTAGTCCCTGCTCGTCCCTGTCCAGAGGAAGAGAGAGCTTTCAATCGGCATAGGGACGTTGTTGTTCGATTCCCGGCAATACAATACCGCGACGGAGGGAGGGCAGAAGAACCATTTGTGTAAATTACTGACGTAGAAATCCGCTCCGATCTCCTTGACGTCGATGGGGACCGTGCCTAGGGCATGAGCCGCGTCGACGAAGACCTGCTCCACGCCTTCCTCTCTGCAAATCTCGACCAATTCGCGGACGGGGATGAGGACGGAGGGCATGGAGGTGATGTGGTCGATGATCGCTAACCTAATTTTGCCGCCATTGAGGGATTTGGCTCTCTCCAATCCCTTTCTGAACTCGGCGATGATTTGGCGGTGGGAGCGGACGGGGAAGGGCAAATGAATCTCGACGACGGAGCCGCCGGCGCGGGCGACGTAGGCGTGGAGAGACTTCTTGACGGCCTGGAAGGCGCAGTCGAGGACGACGACGACGAAGGAGGCGGAGGCGGCGTCGTTTCGAGGGAGGCGGGAGATGTGTTGGAGGACGAGGGCGGCGGCGGTGGTGGCGTTGTCGATGAGGGAGATTTGGTCGACGTGGTCGGCGTTGATGAGGCGGGCGAGGATGGTGCGGGAGCGGAGGAGGGCGGAGGGGAGGACGTGGAGGTGGAAGGCGTCGGGGTGGCGGAGGAAGCGGAGTTGGAAGGAGTGGTGGGCGGCGAGGACGGAGGATGGGCAGCAGCCGAAGCTGCCGTTGTTGAGTCGGGCGATGGAGGGTTGGTGGTGGGAGAACTCTTGTTGGATTTCGGGCCATGAGATGATCCTGTTCTTGTTGTTGGTGTTGGTGGGGCTGCGCGTCCGCTCTTCGTCCATCTCCATGAAAACTATGGCTATGGCTATGGCTATGGCGGCTGCTGCTGCAAGTTAGCAACTGAAACGAGTATGATGTGTCGTTACGTTATATGGTCCAACACCCGTAACTTTCCTTTTCTTTTAATTAATAAAGCACCGTTTATTCTCTCAATTTAAATTTAAATTTAAATTTTATTATAATAAAAAATTTTAAAAAATAATTATATTTAATTCTTTTATTTTAATAAAAAAATTTCATATAAAATTACATCTTAATTTAAATTAAAATTTTAATAAATTAATTAAATAAGTGGACTTGATGCACCTTTTATGTTTTTCTTTAGGAAATAAATTCAATTAAAATATAACTAAAAGCATTATACGTTAACAAATAGAAAATAAATAAATGAAATAGAAAATCGTCTTTTTAACAAAGTTTTTTTTTTTTTTTTTTTGGCTTTTTCATGGAAATTGCTGCGTTTTGTTTGTTCCTCTTAATTGTTCTTTATCTGACAGGAAAGTTCAATTATTTTTCCATCCTATAATATGTAAACTCATGACTAAGGTCTCGTTTATTTCATCACCGATTTAAGTTTATAATTTAAGTTTTATTATAGTAAAAAATTTTTAGAAATAGTTATATTTAATTTTTTTATTACAGTAAAAAGTTCTCACATAAAATTACATCTCAACTCAAATTAAAAACTCGAATCAGCGAACTAAACGGATCCTAAAATTAAAAAAAATATTAAAGAGAGGGGGATTTTTTTTGATAACTTCTCGTATTTCCTTGTTTTACTTGTTTTTAATGAATTTTTATACTATTGTTGTTTGTAAGGATATTTTCATTTTACAAGTTTATTCATTTACCAAGTGCACATCTTTATACATTTCTTTTTTTAATATCGTGTTGTACTTGAGTTCAGGTTATTGTCATTAGTTAGAGATGCAAGAACGGCCGGCATGGCCCGTTCTCCTTAGGCTCATGCATCGTGGGCCGGGACGACTCGAGCTCATAAATTTTGTGGACTCAGATCGGGTCAGTCCGTATAATAATTATCTTGTTCCAGTTCACACTACGTGCTAATTTTACGTGAGTCATGTCATGGGCCTTGAATGAGCTAGCTCATTTTGGCATGTCATAGGTTTAGATGGATCAGCCTATTTAAACATGTAATTTTTAATTTTTTAATTTTTAATTTTTTAATTTTTAAACAAGTTAACAAATATAAAAGTTTGAATAGTCAATGAAAATATGAAAAGACATATTTTATTTACGATTGTCTCATTAAATAACAACTTTATAAGGAAAACCCAGTGGGACAAAACCATAGTAAGGAAAAAAGAGTACAATCAGGATAATTATACATAAGATGTTTACAAAATTACTAAAAAAAGAAAAAAAATAAAGATATCATGGGCATAGATGGGCCGGGCTGGACTGTCCCATTACAGGCCGGGCTGGGCTATCCCATCATGGAGCTAGACGGGCCGGGCCAGCCCTGTGACGACCCTACTGAGTTGGCCGTCACTATAACTATCTTTAACATATAATTTCTAAAACTCCCTAAATTTGAGAGACAAATTTTTTTTTCTTTTGCTTACTGTAAAATGTTGTAGAATTTTGTTCTATAACTTAAATAAAATGCTATACGAATGTTGTAGCATCCTAAGAGCATTATGAAATAAAATGTTATGCGAATGCTGTAGCATTCTGGGCATAAGTTTCTTTCTCTTAAAAAAAACTATTTCATTCATTTTTTATATAGAATGCTACATCATTCTTTTTAAATTACTATAATGACATAAATTATGGTTTCTACTTTTGAACATAGCAAAGGGTTTATGCTTCAAAACCAATTCCTTTTCTAAAGCATAAATTTACATATAGGTATATTTTGCTTCTCAAAATCTTGCTAGTTTACACAGCTTAACAATTTTACTACAAGCTTCCAAAATATAAGTTCATAGACATCTTTAACAAAATCTTTTTTTTAAAACTCTAAACTATTGCGGAAATAACTGCGTGCGGTATCCATTCCCCGACCTTCACTCCGCTCGTCCGCTACCTCGCCATCAGTTTATCAAGCATTATGTGCAGATTGCTTACTTACAGTATAAATACTTTGAAATGAGCTTTCGCTTAGCGTGTAGGAACTATTACTCGCAAAATAACTGAAAGTTCACATGACTATATATGCATGAACTGATTATGCTGACTTATGATGTTTTATCATAGTTTTACTGTCTAAACTTCTCTTACTTACTGATGGGCCCGAGTGCTCGTACCACTTGCGCGCAATCATCGGGACGTGAGGGTTTGCAAGGTCCCCAACGACACCGTGATTATAACTGAACTGAATGCCTCCCTTTTAGAGGACATTATTATTTATTTTTTTCTTCTCCCTTGCGGAGCCTGAGTTACCTCCCTCTCAGAGGTTGGTACGGCACTCAACTGAGTTTATTCTTATAGGTTCTTCTTGACTTATTAAGGTGTATGCAATATGACATAGCATAACATACTATAACATGGAATGTACTCAAACACGTATAATTCATGTGCATTGCTTAAATGTATGCAGTATGACATAGTATAGCATACATAACATTAAATGTACTCAAACATATATAATTCATATGTACTGTTCATTTTAAAATCTATTTATATTATAGGCGAAATTCCTACTTACCTATTTTTAGGAAGTGAAATCCTCTATTTGTCAAAGAGTATGTTCTATTCTTTTCTTGTATCTGAGAATAAACACCCACTAAGAGTGTGAGATTAACTATCACTTGCTATTCTATTTTAGCAAGCTTGTAAAAAAAAAAAAAAGTCTAACTTCTCTATTTATGGCTTTCTTTCTCTTTTCTACCTTAAAGGATTACGAAACCTTGTTAATTTAAAGACTAGGTTTATCAAATCCCCATAACCTTATTTTTTATTAAACAAGGTTCAAACTCAAAATATCTTCTTGAGATTATACTTCAAGTTCTTAATGAACTCTTCTGTTTAACACCAAAACTGTTTTAACAGTTATATAGTGTTTTTTTCTAAGAAAATGGTTTAAAACTTCTATTTAGAACTATAACCAAGTTTAGCCTCAAATTCCAGAACTAAAACTAGGTTTAACTTCAAACTCTCAAACTAAATTTCGGCAGAGTTTCGCCTTATTTTTCTACATTTCCTGAGCTAACTTTAGCTCGATTTATCCATTGTTTTCACATTCAAACACCAACCATATCCTTCCTCTTTCAAATACACTATAAATCATAATCATGGTTTTAGGGTTTTCTCAACGTTTCTAATAAAATTCTCTATATTAAAAATTGCTAGAAACCAAGGTTCAATAACCAAAAATCTAACCTTAGATCAATAGATTCCAAGCTCTTGAACTATTTCAAGCAAATCCCTATTTCTAGAAAGTTTTTTCCCATACTTCCTTACACATCCACGACAGCAAAGGAAAAGGGAAAACAAGAAAAAAAACCTTGAAAACTCACCTTAAGAAATGAAGGTCAAGCTCCGGTGACGCGATGCCTCGGTTACTCCGTCGATTTTAGTCTAAAACCCTCTTTTCTCACGTTGGAAAATTTTTTTCCCTCTCTCTATTCTTCTTGGCTACTCTCTGGTTTCTTTCCATGTGAAGAATGACCAATATATGCATTAGTCTCACTCTTGAACCGACTCCTAAAAAGCAAGGATCAATTTTTGCAAAATTTGCCTTTTCAAACACCTTTTTGTAAAAAAAATCACAAATATCTATTGCTTCCACAAAGAGTTGGCTGGCTGCCCTTCTTTGTTTTGTCCACATGTCAAAATCTCATGCATCCAATCTTTTGTTACTTTAAATCTTAACCATTAATTATTTAATAATTATCCTATTTTGGTTCAGCTTAATTTTCTGTCCAGTGCACGTTTTATCCGCGTTTTCGAACAGTTGGCCAACTTAGTCAACTTTGATCATTCTTAACTAACTTTTCGAGGGCGACGTTTTGGTCAACTCTTGGTCAAAATTTTTTGACTCGGTCCACCTAAAACAGTCGAAACCTTAACTTACGCGATTCGGCCTTCCGGACCCCCTTTTCGTTCCGATTATTTCTAAAACCCTAGAATTGATGTTTTTCAATTCTTTTTCACTTCTTAACCTTAAGATTCATGTGTTGGCCCACTTGTGGGTTTAACACAACATTCTGCACATCTTTGCTTATTACAATCTGAAAGTCAGTAACGGTATCTTACCTAACTTAAATTTCGAATTGCTTACTTAATGTCATCTTGCTTACATAAGCAAGGTTTAGTGAACACTTAGTAATCACCCTTTAATGATCTATTCTTATAGCTATTCTTATTACTTCATACTGACTTTTGAGAATTTACTTAGTTGATAGGAAATTTCAGTTCCTGACTTTGTCAACTTCTGAACTCATATTGCATATGAATTTCTTTACTGATACACTACCCATTTAATTTCCTTTCATCTATTTGGAAATTAAGGGTTTTTCTCCTTAAATGTCAGAGCGTTTCTCTATACGCTGCTAACATTATACTGCACTAAGAGATTCCTGTAATTAAGATTCTCAAACTGTATATGCACGGAGAATTCTTTCGCCTTAATTGTGGTAAGAATTTATGAACTGATTTTACTTATTCTTAAATTATGAACTAATCATAAAACTCGCTACAAAAGTTAGGAATATTGATATTAATTTCGTAAATCCTTCAGTCACAAAATATGACAGTATATTACTGAGAAAAGTTCTTGATTTAAATAAATAAATTTACATTATTTAAGTTTATGATTTTCTCGGTCATTACAAGTCCGGCCTAGCTCATAATTTTTCATGGGCTGATATATGTTGACCCAGCCCGCCAATATATATGGGCTAGACCGTGTCTTGAGTAGTGATGGGCCGTGTCGGCCCGACCCATCATTGTGTCAGGGTGGGGCTGGGGCGGGCCCCGGGCATGGGCCGTGTCGGCCCGACCCATCATTGTGTCAGGATGGGCCTGGGCCGGTCCACGGGCCCCGGCCCATTGTTGCATCTCTATAATTAGTTCTTATACATTTACATTTTCACTGTCCTTTTATTTTATTAACTT